TGATACAATAGATCCGCCTTCGCTTCAGTGGAAAATGGCCATCGGAGGTTGGAGGGCTCAGAGGGAGGGGGCTGTGGAGCAATGTCAAACAAAGTGTGGCTAGGACACAGCACAAGCAGCCAAGAAAAGTGGATTGCTTCTTATTGTTTAGAGGAATTCAAGGTAGCTAAACTCACAAAACACTAAAAGGTTCTACATTATACTAATTTGACTCATGTGAGCTTTTAGCCATGTTAGAATGTTGTTGTTTCATCAAAAACATATTTGAAGTTGTGTTTTGTTTCATTCACACATTTGAATAACCCTTTATTATTAGTCTGTCATCTCCAAAGCTCAGAATATTCTGTTCCACCTTGTGATGTCATGAAGCAGTAGTTTTCAAGTTAACATTTCCTTTTAGCTTTAGTTTAAAAGAAATTTCTAATGCCAGGGTTGAAATTATACAAATTATTCTAGTGAAGGTGTATGAAGTTTATATAAACACAGTGGAGCACTTTCCGAATTACACCACATGACATCACAAGGTGGAACAAAGTGTTTTCTGTTTGAGAGAAGAACACACCGTAATATGGGCCCTTTAACGTTTAACCTTCATGCTCCACTACACAACCTCTACTTATGCATTAAATTATATGATCTGCGCAGTAGGTCTAGAAGTGATAAAAAATAAAAAATAAAGTATTTTATTTAGCAATAGAATTGGCATTAGCATTTAATACAATTTTCCATCTTCTCAAATAAAGAAACTAGCCAGGATGTTAATTAACTACAAATTGCTTTACATTACACATACATTTCATGATAATAGAATAGGCTATAACATGTAACATGTTTTGATAAATTTGCTAAAATAAACGATATCCTTCACATGTAATGCTGATATTGTGACATTGCACCAGCTTTCATTAGCAACAGAATTAACATTTAGCACAAATTTCTATCTTCTCAACTAAGGAAACTGTAAAGGTGTTCTCTCAAAATTAATTACACAATCACACATACTAGTTATTTAGCTAGATACTAGTTATTTAGCTATAATCCGGTGCAGAACATCTGTTTTTTTTTTGTTTTTTTATGATCTTAGTGTCTCTGCACATTGTCCCTTCAAATAAAGACGAAACTATACTATATAGGCTACAAAAAGGCATAATGGTGTAATAATTAAGAATTACATGTTTTGCAATGCCAAAATATATGCAGTTATTTAAGCTGCACGTAGACAGTATTAGCGCAACATACTTCATTACATTATTCAATACAAGACATGTCCGTGCTGTATTTTTATATGATTTAAAGGTCAACGTTAAGTCCAAAATTAATATTTGTATAGTATTTCTTACCTGTTTGAACTTGAGCTGTAATGCCATAATTACTTGTGATAATCACTTACTCCACGCTAACGCTAAACCATGTGGCTAAATAATAAGCTAGCTAGAGTTTGTCTTATTATTTTTATTTTATTATAGACCTATGTTTAAAAGGTAGGAATAACAACCACTACACAGGTCTATACACACACACACACACACACACGTGGGTGTGGTGTGTGTGTGTGTATATGTGTGTATATATATATATATATATATATATATATATATATATATATATATATATATATATATATATATATATATATATATATATATATATATATATATATATATATATATATATATATATATACACACATACATACACAGTCTATAGGTCAGACTCAGACTATTGTGCAAGAGCTTCAGACAGATGTCTAACCAAAAACAAGAACACCCCTGCAAAAAATGGTAAGTGGCCTTAAAATATTAATTAATCGTGCCCATATTAAGAATAGCTATTTTTTTGGGTAGCATCTTCATACTATCTCATTCCTATACGGTTTTAGCCTTAGCTTGATGCATTTCCTGTGTTAGATGCGGATGATTTGAGGGCAGATTGGACATATTGTGTGTGGATGCTTTTGGATTTATTGCCCACTGAGCAGCACCGTCTGTGACCCCGGCCTGCCAATGAATATATGTGAGGATTTATGGTATAGGCTACCACAGACGTGTAACTAGTCTACTGACAAAAACATTTCATTTTTGGGTTGCACGCACCTGCCAACCACCTCCACAGATATTTGGGTTTCATCAGACTGTATGCCCACTGTGGTCACCATACATTTTTACTGTAAGGCAAGTGGCAAATGCTTAAACTACTTCACCACTGTTCCCACTGTTTAGTTAAAGATGCGCTATGTAACTTTTCTGGGGGAGGATACATCATATGCTTGTCTCCATGATGGAAATGTGGTTTATCTGGAATGTTTCCCAGTATGGCATTAAAATTGTTTAACTCCATGGAGACAAGGTATTTGTAAAAACAAGGATTAATGCCATATTTTTGGAAATTCCGTGTATAATATAATAACATAGACTGTAAGCTATTTATAAATGTATGTAGCTAAGCCACTAGAAGTTGCATTCCAAATAGTAAGTGTGCATGGAGGCTCCATCCAACTGACTTTACATGGGAAAACAGTCACCCGTCTGTCTGTGATTGCTGCAGTGAGCCTCATCATTTTGGTCTTAAAATGCTCTGTATGATCATGGTGTTTTTATTTTGCTATTTTGTACGTGAATAAAATCCTATTCCTAATATGGAACTCATCTTCATATCCGCTCCTATGACTGCTATCCTCATGTGCTTCATTTGACTGGAGCCGAAAGCTATGGGTGATGTCACACTCCCTTAGTCCACTTCTTTATACAGTCTATGGATTGGATATGAGTGTACCACATATGCATGAGGATTTGCATTTGCTTGAGGCTAAAATATTATAACAATCATTAATCTTAGACTTTGTACATTCTTCAATATCTCCAGTGATCGATAAAACTACCTTGGGGTTGTCTTTGTAGGAAGCAGCTTCACTGTGAGGTCAATGAAGGGCCAATGTGCTGTGAAAATAACAGGTGTGATTCTACACATCAACGCGCAATTTAGTGAATCTACTGAGACCAGATTTAAAAGGTCAAGTGTAAGCACAAAGAAAGGAGAACGTGGAGAAACATATATGATTTGAATTATGTCTAGGTGAATTCTGACTCATTTCAAATTCTGAGCATGTAGGGATTTAAAGGGCTCATATTACACTATTTTCTGATCCATTTTATAATAATCATTAAGCCCTAGAGTTTCCGGTCTCTTCTAAACAAAAGGTAAAAGGCAGCTGTTAACTTGAATACTACCACTTGATGACATCATAAGGTGGAACAGAGCATTTTGAAGTTTGGCGGGAAAGACAGACTAATAAATCACAAGTCCATGTATGACCATTCATAACCAAAATGCCTGTCAATCCATTTTATCTGTCAACATTAAAGTATATTACACAAAATTGTGAACTTTAAGTCATGTTAGAATGTTACCAACTGTTCAAAAACATAACTGGAGTTGTGTTTTGTTTAATCACATATTTTTTAGTAAGCCTTTATTATTATTCTGTCTTCATCGGAAAAGCTCAAAATGCACTGATCCACCTTGTGATGTCATGTAGTGGTAGTTTTCAAGTTAGCAGCTACCTCATACCTTTTGTTCAGTGGAGATTGGCAATTCCATGCCTGAAATCAACCAAAATGATTCTAGTGAAGGTGGATGGCCTTTAAATACGCACACTTTTTGTATTATCACACAACATCACAAGATGGAACAGACCGTTTTACATTTGAGAGAAGAACTCAGCCTAAATATGCAGGGTTTTGGTGTTAAAGGTGTGTGAAATGAAACAAAACACAACTCGAGTTGATGAGGAAACAACATTATAACATAGATCAGAAAATAAAATAACATGGGCTCTTTAAAATCTCAAATATTTGCATACAAGTCCCTATGTACTTCTCCCATCTATTACCTACATGCAAATTTGTACCCAGCCCCATGTCCTCTTCAGTGTCTACACATGGCTGGCTCTATAAATACATAAAGTGCTGTTTCCTAGGTAACTGCTCAGTGGAGAAAAGGCCACCAGAAATCGAGATGGAGAGGAGCGATAAGTGGCCGCCGTGGCACTTTGACAGTCAAGCATGCCGTCATGCTACCATGACATGTCGCCACGCCAACCACCAGAGGTAAGTGGTGATTGTTACCGGGGAGCAGACAGGGAGAGGGCAAAAGGGGCTGTTGTGTTGGGACATGGGGTTTTAGGGGCTCAGAAATATGGACTTTTCCTAATCATTAATATGAGAGGGGGTCTATGTGAGACCTCAGTTCCAGAAATGACAACTTTCTGTTGACTGGCCTGAATATTTATTATGGGGTATTTTGCCATCTACTTTTTATCTTTCCTAGCCTATTAAGTAATTTTTTCAGAATTTTAGGACACCCCATCACCACCTTATATATTGGTTTTAAAAGCTGTGCTGTGGTTGAAAATTAGTCACTTTTTTCTTTTAAACATTTTGATACATTGACGAAAGGCAATAGAAACATTTCACCATTGATCATTATATTAGTTCTTGAGTAATCTTGTATCAACCCACGTCCTCCCTTTTGGCAAGGGGCGTCAGGAGGGGGTCTCACCCAGATCAGTGTAGGATCGCCACTGATTATGAAATGCAATTATTCAACAACTACCATTTTATTTCGATAGATTAATGAAATAACTCTACAACAGAATGTGACTTATCCAGTTCAAGAAAGAGTATTAATATTCCCTTTTATTTTTCCTTCATGCTCTTTTCTTAATAATTTACTGTTCACCGCTCATTAAATAACTCTCAGTTTTGGCTTTTACTTGGAGTAAGTGTTTTAAATGTGACTTCACTGCCATCCAGTGGTTACAGTAGGGCATTGCGACTACAACAGAGTTGGTAATGAGCCTCTTGTTCGGTAATTACTCGACGATGATTAATGTAAAATTAGCGCCATTGCACTAGTGTGTGACAATTTAAAACTAAATATTCTCAAAAGTCCTTAAAATGTCACCTATACACAGAGAGATGATTGTCTCAGTGAAAACATGGTTTGTTATAGATATGTATTTATTATAGCGCATGTTCAAGTTCAGTATCTGTTAAGGTTGCTCATTTGTTTAGAAACATTCTTGAAAAGTTAAAGCTTCACGAGTGGACATGTGAAACATTTTGTCCATTTTGTTTCCAAATAAAACACATTTACATATTTATATACAGTGTACATTTGGTTTTACTCCTGGAGTACCACTATATTAATTAGGAATGCATCCAACATCTATTCAACAAAATTAATTAAAACTTAAAGGTGCATTGTGCAATTTTTCTGGTCAGAGTCCGTCAAATGCTTTTCTTCATGGAGGTGTTATTGCTTTGCCTGGAATGTTTCACAGTATGGCATTAAACCTTTCTATCATCATGGAGACAAAACCAGACCCAAGTTACAGGTCAGGTTTGTGGAGAGGCCGCTCATAATGAGAGATATGATGTCTAGGTATTTTTGAGCTATAAAACCACCTGTAATTGAGCTGTTTAATGTCATATTGGGGAACATTCCTAGCAGAGCAGTCACATATCCATAGAAACCACCACGTGATGGACCCCCAACCAAAAAGTTATATAATGCATCTTTAACCAAAGACCTGAATACTGCTAATGCACTGTTCAGGACTGGACCCTTGTTTGAACATATCTTTATAGTTAGTTCTTTTTAGTGTTTTTACAGACTGCCAATATTTCTCTCTTGTTCTGAATAATTATTGTCATTGTTTAGGCCTGTCATGATAACACATTTTGAAGCACAATATATTGTTATAGAGAAAGATTGCAATAAACGATATTATTGAAACTGCTTTAGTAACTCACACAATTAAAATAAAGCAGGATAATCCCAATAAACCCATTTGTAAAATATTCACCTTCACTAAAAGGTTGAGCTGTAACAAATAAATAGCCAGGAGAACCGATAATTAGCCACAGAAATGACTTATTCAACCCTCTGCAGCTCAGATCTTTTCTTATTACAACAAAAATAACTAAAATCCCCAATTTCCTAAGAAAATGGCCACAAGATAAATACTGAGCCCCAAATATATTGTCTCATCTTTCATATGTTGAATGATAAGTCAGTATAGTGATTATCATGACAGATCTAACATTGTTATCATTGTGAGGGCTTTACTAAGATTTGTGCAAGATATGCAAGCTGTGCCAATGTTAAAAGGCCAGGAGAAAGACACCCTGTTTACCCACATGCCAAATGTCCAGTTCAACATCTAATAACAAAAACTGGTTTGGGAATGTTTGAGGTCTAGACCAGTCCAACAGCACACCAATACAATAGACCCTTTTCTTATGTAAACTGGTCTCAAGAGAAGAAAGTCAAAGGGCAGCACCTGCTACCATCTGTGCATGCACAAGTTAAACATGCAAAGAGAGTTATAATAATTATACATTACCCAAAGAAAAATACACAACCAACCTTAACAGAGAGAAAAGGGTGTCACAGAATAGAAACCAAAACACAAAGCTAAGAATACACTGTAATTTCCCTTCATATATGTAAACATGCACTCAAGCATTTATTGCCTCTAGATTTGTTCTGAAGTGAAGTTCAAGGTGCTTAATGATAAAACCTCAACACACAAAGCTCATCAGTGCCTGTTTTTTTTTTGTTGATGTCTGTTGTCTAAATGAATGACAAATAAATTCTAAGTCAGTACAGGGCTGTTAATTATATTGATAGCTGTGTAATATTGGAAGATAGTTGCTTCAGACCTAAAGTCTGGGATGGACTTTTTTTGTGGAAAGACCAATGCAAATGGTTTTGTTGCTGGCTTGAACAGATTATGTTGGATTAAAAGTAACGTGCTAGTAAAAGGCACAGGAGGGATGCTCCTACTCACATGCATCCTTCAGTTACAGGATTATTCCACAAACACACGTTTACACAGCCCACAGCTGGCCTAAAGTCCAACAGAGAAGAAAAGGGGAAAAAGACTAGAGATCCACTGAGTCCAATCACTGCTTTAAATCGTCTTGAGCTCATTGGAGAGCCACTCGAGTCCCTCGTACAGACCGTCTCCACTGGTGGCACACGTAGACTGGATGTACCACTTACGATTACGCAGAGTGTGCAAGGCCAGGGCATCTGTGATTTCTGGGGCAGTCAGTGCATTAGGCAGATCCTGCAAAATAAATAGTTATTGCATGTTACAAACTCACAAAAGATTAAATTAATATGTTGTGCTGTGCATCCATTACCTGTTTGTTTGCAAATACGAGAAGCACAGCATCCCTGAGCTCATCCTCGCCCAACATCCGATTCAGCTCTTCTTTGGCTTCAGCAATGCGCTCCCTGTCGTTACTGTCCACCACAAATATTAGCCCTGGAAACAGAAACATTTATTATTTACATAAACATGCATCAAATCTGGTTATTTTATAATGATCTTGTAATTATTTAGTGCAAACCTTGTGTATTTTGGAAGTAATGCCTCCATAGTGGTCTGATTTTGTCTTGACCACCCACATCCCAAACTGTAAAACTAATATTCTTATATTCTACAGTCTCCACATTGAAACCTATCAAACATAAAATGAACATTGTTAAAACACTGTTATTGAGATACTAGGTGTACATTTCTCACTTGCAATGAAACTTACCAATAGTTGGGATTGTGGTAACAATTTCTCCCAGTTTCAGTTTATACAGTATGGTTGTCTTTCCAGCAGCATCTAGTCCAACCATCAGTATTCTCATCTCTTTCTTGCCAAAGAGATTTTTAAAAAGAGCTGAAAGAGACCCACCCATTTTTCGTATTCTAAAAGAAGAGAAAGTGCATTTCTGTTTAGCAAAAAGAATGCTGCTGTAAATCATGGAGAAAGAAAAAAAGTATTGAACTGTTACAGTGGGTAATTGCTTTGACAGTAAATTATTTATATACATTCCTAATACAGAATACTAGCACTTGTGTGAAATTTCAAGAATTTAGACAGCTGCTGACGGACAAGATAACATGTTTTGACTTGTTCTGTTTTTTAATATTGCAGCATAGAATGGTTATTTTTTCATATATGTAATAATAAATAGATAAAGTTAAATTTACTGAAAACAATTAAAGCCTAACTGTAACTGGTAATCGATATATGGCTATTGTTTATGCTTCCTCTGCTAAAGAGCTTTTAATGACGTGTGCATGTCAGCTGCATTGTGAAACATGCAGCAGAACAAGCCCCTCTGAAACTATTAGCCCCACGTATAAAAAAAAGTGATTCAGAAAACATACACATTTTAGTAAAGCAAATACAATGTGCACTAACCATAAAGTAATTACTGACTGTACATAAATCAAATCAAAATTTTAAATGGGAAAATATTTTAAATATTAAAAAAAAAAAAAAACCTAGGGCACTCCAAAGGTTTGAATTCAGATGTAGAGTTTTACTTAAATCTGCACTGATATAGCCAAGGACGTATTATTCTTATTTTAATTTGGTAGTAAAGGCTATTAAATAAATTTGAACCTTTGAAATGCCTGTTTTTTCAACTTTGCATATGTTTTTGTATATTTCTGAAGTGCCCCAAGTAATTATGGCATTATCTAGAATTTTTTTTATAAAATGTACTCAAATTAGAAAACTGAGAACACTAAAACCTACAATGGTAAAACAAAAAGGTAGTTCTCATACAGCATCAAACTGTCAGGAAGAGAGGTTACTACTCAGTAACAAAACCAGTAAGGCAGGTTCAGATTACCAAGACATGTAGGCTTATAGATGTGGAAAATTTCTTTAACACACTTTTTTAGTATTATTGTTGAACGTGTATATGTGGGGAAATCTGAAACATATGGTATAGGGTACAACCGATTGTGGCAGCAAAATCAGGCTTGGGCTCAAATAACATACAGGGAACTGTATTATTCATTGTAATCCAAGATGACGTCTTAATTTTGCAGAGGGGTGGTAAAGAACAACAGGCTCAATAATGCACCACCCTATTTATAAATGCAACTAAATACCGCATGTACCACGCCTTTGTGCGAATGTCATATTGCAAGTATGTTTAAAAAGGAGGTATTTTGTGATTTAGTACATCAATGATCTGGTTAGTTTTTTTCAGATTAATAACAAAGATTAGACACATTCAGAGATGTTCTAGTGGGAGACGCTTTTTTAAATTGAAAAGATAATGACTCCAGCCTCGTATGATATCCAGATGACAAACGAGACATTTTAGCGAAATACAAAACAACTTGAGCTGTCTTTTCTGAACACAAACTTTCAGCAGCGTCAGTAAATACCCGCTGTTTTAACGTGGCGACTGGACTAAGGAAACGTCGGATATTACAGCCCATGGTCTAAGGAAATGTATAATAGTTATATGAGAAAATGCATACCTGAGTTTGTTTGACAGGAGTCAAGTCTCCAATCTACAAATGTCGCTGCGTTTCCGGGTTGACGTGTTCTTCTTGTTCTTGTCTCAAACTGTGGACCGCAGGAAAGTACAACTCCACCGCCTCCAAGTGGCAAAGAATATAATAACATAAAGACCAATACAAATCCATTTTGTATTATTTCTAATTTAGCCACTTCATCTTATATTTTGGCTATATCAACAAAACATAATGTCCTTTTGCCTTATGATACACTAAGCGAGCAGCATCTAAACAGCCCAGTGTCTGACCAATCCTGGATACAGTGTGCTAGACCTTATAATGTGAAAATCATATGCACCTTGGAAGAAGAACAAATTAAAGTATCTTTATGGTGGCTTTGAGGGTGCTGTAATCCCAGCCCTAATAAGACTACATACAGTCTAATAAAGTTAAGACAACACTTAAAACCCATTGACTGTACATAAAGAAGCACGATGCACCTGGGTGGCGATACAGTGGGAGGTGACATCCAGTAACATTACCGAGGCTCAATCCAATGAGGATGCTGCAAAATGATGCGCGTATCACCCCCACGCCCCAGAGCGCGCCCTACCTCTAGCGGACCTCTGGGCCCGGCGCAGCGGATTCAAAGTCTGTGTGGGGCCCCTTAAAGAGGTGCGCCGAACAGGCGGCAAAGACTTTCTCTGTTCAAGAAACAGCGAGATGAAGAGCATCGCCAACCCGGCACCATGGGCTCCAGGCTTCCACGGACCGCCTGCCTACTGCGACTTATCGCACTGTGCATCCTCCTCTCGCACACCGCAGCTTATTTTGGGTCAGAAAGTTTTTTGTTTATCACTTCACTCACGCTACTTAGTTTGTTTTAACAACGACAGGTGTATCCTATCATTTGTAACTCGTAAACACGCATAGCACACGCGTAAATACGCTCAAGTATTATGCATAACAAGCAACGACTTTGAGTAAACCAAATGTGGTTTCTTTGTTGTTAGAGTTATGCAAAGTGTTAGTGTTATACAAAAAGTGCCAGGCTCTTTATCCAGAGTTTATTACTTAGTGAGGTGGGCATTTGGGTTGGAAACGTGCGCATGCCGAAATGTAAATTAATTCAATTGAAAGAGGGGTAATAATTGCAATTTTCATGCACTTTTTTCAGTGGCTTTTAACATCTGTTTCTTTTTCATACTTAGGCTGACAGGTCGAGAACCTTTGGTGTTTCTTCCCGGGCCCATTTCCAACGACGCTCCTAATGGAAAGGCTCACCTGAAGCAGTGCGAACAGATGACCCTGACCCGGCGGCAGAAGAGGCTGTGCCGCAGGGAGCCGGGTTTGGCCGAGACGCTGCGTGAGTCCGTGCGCCTCAGCCTCCTGGAGTGCCGCTACCAGTTCAGGAATGAGCGCTGGAACTGCAGCCTGGACGGACGAGGGAGCTTACTGAAAAGAGGTGAGTTTAAGAAGGATTTTGAAGACTACTGTTTGTGATTTGAAATTGAAATATTAGTTATTAGAGTAACAGACCAAACTCATGGGTCAAAGAGAACTAACCAAGGCATGCCAACACGGTTTACATTGTCTTGTATAACTTGGTATATTCATATTTTACCCAACTTAATCAAGGGTATATAATAATGCTGTAATCCTTTATTCACATGTTAGAATACACACAAGAAAAAAAAAATGGGTTAGTTACTATACATAAGTAGCCAAGTATAAATGTTAAGAAATTATAAACTTCTCGAATTATTTTAATTCTGTTGTCCTCAGGAACAAATTGTTGGCCTATTGTTTAACTATGCACGTTACTATGTTGAGACTTGTAGATACTACTAATGATGTACATACATTCTATGCTTCTCAAATTGTTTTGTAGGTAATTTTATTCATTGTAAAGTTAAAACCCTCCTGAACAAATTGTAGGCCCATTGTTATGATGTTAAGGCATGTTATACAAGCAAGTACAAGATTAAATTTGGTTACTGTGTTTAGACTTGTAGGTGTCAGACTATGACTGCAGTAAATCATAAGCTCATGATTTAGTAGATCATTTTATTAATTGTAATTCTCTGGAATTCATTGTAAGTGTACTGTTAAACAGAACACAACTGGTTTCTATGTTGACACTTGTAAGTATTAGTCTATGAATGTAGAGTAAATTAAAAGCTTCTCAGATTGTTTTAGTAGATATTATGATTGTAAGTCTACTATTAAATTGTTCATAGATGTGACTGACTTGTAAGTATCAGCCTAATATACAGTCAATTCTAAGCTTCTCAAGTTGCTTCAGTAGGTTATTTTATTAAACTTTTCCTGATCAAATAGGTCTATCAAAACTTTTTATTGAATCATTTTATTGAATCAGTTAAATTCAAGTTTATTTATATAGCATATAAAACAACTTCAGCTGACCAAAGTGCTTCACATGAAAGCCAACCAAAACTTCCCAAATCAAATAGACCTATCAATCAGTATCAAAACTTTTTATTGAATTGTGTAGTCCTAGAGATCAGTATTGCATGTGTGAGACAGCTCTCCACTTGCCTTTTTTATGCTTATACATATTATATAGTAGATTATTGTATTAATTGTTTTGTTCAAATTCTCTTGAACTCAATGAAGTTAATTATAAGCTTCTCAAATTGCTCTATGAGGTTATTTTATTAATCGTTTCCTTCAGTTCTATTCAACTTTATTTATATAGCACATTTAAAACAACTTCAGCTGACCAAAGTGCTTCACATAAAAGCCAACAAAAACTTTCCTGATCAAATAGACCTATCAGTCACTATCAAAACTTTTTATTGAATCATGTGGTCCTATAGATCAGTATTGCGTGTGTGAGATGGTTCTCCAGCTGCAGTGCTTTGATGCTTATACATATGGATATGAGTGTGTGGGAGAGCATGAACAGGTCAGCGCAACTAATGAGGGAGTAGAGAGCCAAGAGTTGTGGTGTGGCTGAGTCCGCTGTGGCTATTTTTATATGCGGAAAGCGCCCATTCCCAGAGGAAAAGGGTGGCGCGATTATCCACTTTCATCTTGGAAAAGCCTTCCTAGTCAAAATAATAATTAATTGGTTCAAAATACATGTCTCTGGGGTAAGCAAACAACATTGAGTAACCAGAAAGAGATGCCCAGGAGATAAATCATGACATAACAGTAATGTGGTGGTAGTGGATAACTTGTAAACATTGTAAAAGTCAATCAAAAGTTGCATAATTTGAATTGCTTGTTTTGCATCTGTACAATGCAGTGTTGCCTAAGCTGACAATTATGCTGTATTTATATTAAATCTTTTTTTATTCTAGCATCTTATTTATACAGCCCTTTTATTTGATTATATCTTAATAATATGCTTCATTGTTTTATGTTGCATATCGCCAAAGCACATTCCTAACATGTTAATTTGGTAGCACTTTATAATAATATAGTTAGTATTGAGATTCATGGTATCATTAATTTTGTGGCAATGGCAATGAGCTCTTTCTGGTAACTGCTTAAAAACTATTTGAATTAAAAGTTTTAACAATTTTGTTTAGGACAGATAACAGATAAAGTTTAGGCAAGCAGTAAATCAAGAATCCATTTACTTAACCTTTTTATTAATAGATTAGATTACATAGATACATTTAAGGGCACTGCCAGGATGTGGACTACTTTTATTAACTACTCATTTACCCATCACTGAACATTACTGATTTGTTTTATGTCCCCTCTAGCCTTCAAAGAGACCGCATTTCTCCTGGCTGTATCTTCGGCCGCTCTGACGCACGCCCTCGCCAAGGCGTGCAGCTCGGGGCGCATGGAGAGGTGCACGTGCGATGACTCCCCGGGCATCCAACATCGCGAGGCCTGGCAGTGGGGCATATGTGGAGACAACCTCAAATACAGCACCAAGTTTATCAAGAAGTTCCTGGGCCAGAAAAGAGTCAGCAAGGACTTAAGGGCACAGGTTGACGCCCATAACATTAACGTTGGAATTCGGGTAAGTGTTAACAAACAGATTGCAAGACAAATATATATTGCATCAGTTCATGGGTTTGAAGTTATGGTAACAGTCCTCGATCGTCAAAGCAGTTAAGCAATTAAAATCAAAATATTGTGTCTTTTGAATGGTGAAAGGGCCTCACAAAATCCTTCAAATCAGGAAGGAATCGTGTACCTGAAATCAATGAATAGATATTTGATGACTGAGTATAATCTCTGATGGTAGGTGAGCTGTATATAATTCTATGGGAGATTTACTATTTTTGAAAGGAATATCCAAAACTAGAAATCCACAAATATTATACCTTGTCTTTATTTGATTGGCATCCACAATATTGATATCCACAACATCTACAATATTGATAATATGGCTTCAAATCCTTTCAGCTGACGACAATCATGGCTTTGGGATTTAATGGTGTCAACTTCTGAAGCTTTCTGCATAAATAATTTCACTTTTGTTTAGTTATGACAGTGAAGACAGTGCCAGTTTTTGTTCCATAGATATAAACCCAGTAATTACAGAAATATTAAATGGTCCATATTACACTATTTTCAGATCTATGTTCTAATCTTTTTTTTTCTCATCATACACATACCTGGAGTTGTTTGTTGTTTCATTCACACATGTTTAATTCACAGATCCTACATATTTAGGCTGAGTTCTTCTCTCAAACAGAAAACTCTCCGTTCCACCTTGTGATATCATGTGGTGATACAAGGGAGTGCTTCACTGTGTTTTAAACTCCATACACATTCACTAGAATCATTTGGATAATTTCAACCCTGAAATTGGCAATCTTTAAGGTCAATGCTAGCTGTAACTTGAAAACTACCTCTTCATGACATCACAAGGTGGAAGAGAGCATTTTGAGCTTTGGAGATGTAAACAGACTAATAATAAAAGATTAGCTAAACATGTATGAATGAAACAAAACACAAATCCAGGTATGTTTCTGAGGAAGTAACAGCATTATCACATGACTTAAAGCTCACAAGAATCAGTTTTGCAAAATTTAGGACCTTTAACCCTAAACCTGGTCACCAAATCTGTAATCGAACAAGAACAAATTCTACCATAGCATTCTGTTCTGCCGTCCAGCTCCGTTTTAAAGTACAGTGATTCTACAATGTTGTGATGCCACGTGAACACAACATTATTCAATTTAATTTTATCAGCGCTTTGCTGTCCCTGCGGCAAGAAAAACTTTACGAATCTAGACTCACTATGATTAGTTGAGACGCGCCTTTTCATGACAATTATATGTCTGATAGAGTACCATCAGGGGTAGTAATGTTATGCAGTGCCAGCCAAACAAGTGCCCCGTTATTTGGGATATAATATAATTTAATAGACAGAGCAAAGCCAGGCAGTTGGTGAGGTAGTGGTGGGGTCTGGGGAGACAAGTAGACTGGCGAATCGCTGGAGCCAGGTGTTACTCAGACATGATAAAGCTTGCTGTGCGGGCCTACAGGAAAATTAAAGGTCTTCCGTCAGTTGGGAACGATTATAACTGTGGCCTCTTTTTAATATACGAGCAAGCATTTTTTTCCAGTTACTTCTTCAATAAATCCTACTAATGTTCTTAACCACCAGTGTCTACAAGTGGATTTGCCCCAGGGATTTGTGTAGCGATCCAATGAGGGTGGTTTAGAGTGAGAAACAGGAAGGCTTTCTTATCTTATCTCATCTAAGTTTATTGTTTTCCACACTTTTCGCTAATGTGGCTAAAATACAGAGGTTGTGTTAACCAAAACATGGTGTGGCCGGTGCACCCTCATTTCTCAGTAAAGCCCTAAGGGGATCCATACCTGTAAAAGAAGGAGCTATGCGAATACCTTTCAACACAAGACTACCCTTTCCTTCACCTCAGCTTTAGTCTAACCTCTCTAACCCCAATCTATCTTCCAATTGACTGATCAGTAGACATGTTAACCACACAAGACACTACAACGTTACTGGGTTTTGTTTTAAAGGTGAATTGTGTAACTTCTAGTGGAGGATCCATCAAATGCTTTTCTTCATGGATATGTTATTGCTTTGTCTGGAATGTTTCACAGTATGGCATTAAACCTTTCTATCTTCATGGAGACCAAACCAGACCAAGTTACAGGTCAGATCTGTGAAGAGGCAACCACACTTACAGTCAGAATAACTGTTTTCTGTTCTGTTTTACACTGTGTCACCTGTAATTTAATACATGTAAGGCAAAGATGTTTAATGTCATATTGTGGAACATTCCAGGCAGATCAGTGACATATCATTAGAAACAAGTAGGCTATGGTCCCGCCACCAGAAAAGTTACACAATGCACCTTTAAGACAGAAAATTCTTATCAATGTTTTTCCGTGAGCAGGCATGTAGAGAGAGGAGGGTGGGTGGATTCCTCAGTCTGCGCTTTTTGTCGCCTCTGCCTCGGGCTTCAGAAAAGCTAGAAGTAGACAGAGCTAGTTCGAACACATTGGAAACCTATAAGAATCCAGGAAAGCTGTCCAAAATGAGCAATGCACACTAAATGAAATACAACCACCCCCCTCATCTAGAATCCATAGTGTCAGAAATTTTGAGCTAAAGGACCACCTCTAACCCCCAAACCCTCCCTGAAGGAACCTGCTCACTCCAGCTCAGATAGACCTCCCAGATAAGAGGCCAAGCAATGAATCAAATGGGGAAGAAGCTGACATCTTTCTACCTTTTTCCCATCCTTTATGCTGGTGGGTCTCAAACTGGGGTTAGGGTCCAAGTTAGAACAGCAGCTAATACGTATTTTTTGCCAAGCAATTAAAGGGCCCATATTACGCTATCTTCTAATCTCATCAATGTTAGACTGTTGTTTCCTCATCACAAACATACTTGTGTTTTGTTTCATTCACACAAACCCTGCACATTTAGGCTAAGCTCTTCTCTCAAACAGAAAACACTTGGGTCCACCTCGTGATGTCATGTGGTAATACAGGAAGTGCTTCACTATGTTTTTAAACTCAATACACTTTCACTAGAATCATTTGAATAATTTCAGTCCTGGAATTGCCAGTTTCTACTGAACAAAAGGTAAAGGTAGCTGTTAACCTGAAAACTACCAATACATGGCATCACAAGGTGGAACAGAGCAGACAGATGCAGGATTACTCAACATTTGTGAAGCTAAAACTATTACACTTACAATCTAATTGATAAAGAATATTTAAACACATTGAAGGATTAATTGGAGCAGTTTTGTAGACCTAGTCCTAATCGTACACAGAAGATCATAGTACTCATATGAAGTTTCATTATTATTCACTTTTCACTACGTGTATTCTGGTTTCTTTACTTTAGTTTTGGTTTGGTCCCTTTCTAATCCTGGCCCAATCCTGGTCTAGTCCTGGTTTAGTCCCAGTTTAGTCCCAGTTTTAATGTAATGATTGGGCAAGTGTGAACACACTCTTACATTTGACCCATCTGCCAATGCTACTGGGGCAATCTGGTAGTTACCCATTGCCAGGTTCTCTATTGTATATTAGCCTACACAATTAATGCATATTTTAAGATGGTACTTATCTCCTTCCTCTCTTATAACAGGCGGTGAAGAGTGGTCTGAAAACAACCTGCAAATGCCATGGGGTATCTGGTTCCTGTGCTGTCCGGACGTGTTGGAAGCAGCTTTCCCCTTTTCACGATACGGGACGGCTGCTAAAATACAAATATGACAATTCAGTGAAAGTCCTGAGTGTAACCAATGCCGCAACTGGAGAAACAGAACTAGCTGGGCCACGGAAACACAGACAAAACCTACGCACTACTGATCTGGTGTATCTGGAGGACTCCCCTAGCTTCTGCAGAGCATCGCGATACTCAGCAGGGACAGGGGGGCGGACTTGTTCTAAAGACACCACCTGCCAGAGTTTATGCTGTGGGCGAGGGTACAATACGGCCATGAGACTCACCAGTTTGTCATGCCACTGTCAGGTGCGGTGGTGCTGCCATGTGGAGTGCCAAACATGTGTCCGAGAAGAGGAAGTATACACCTGCAAAAATGCGTAGCCAGAGGACAGAGAGATTACATTGAAAAACTTTATAGACTTTGTGGGGACCGGAGATGACTGGAATGACTAAACTGCATCCCTCTTGCTCAAAGCACTGAAATCTCTGTCCTCCTGAAATAGTGGGATTACATTCCTGTACTGGACTAAACTGGATGTTAATAATCAACAACAGAAATTCAAAGATGGGACACTGTGAAATGTACTTTAAAACCATATGAATTTTATTTTCTAATGGAGATGTTATTGCTTTGCCTAGAATGTTTCCAAGTATAGCATTAGACCTGTCTATCTCCATGGAAACAAACAGATCCTGCCATGGGTTATGTCAGTATAGAGGTGACCCCGCTCAAAGTAAGAATCCATGTATTTTCCACATATTTAGAGCAATAACAGCACCCATAATGAAATAAATACAATATACATTTAAAATTATATCATGTGGAACATTATAGGCAAAACAATAATATTTCCATGGAGAGAAGGAGGTGGTAGATCTTCCATCAGGAAAAAAGAATACCATTTTCCCTTATTACATTAAATTATTGGGCTGTTTTGTCATGTGAAACGTGATATTGGTCCCTTTAATTAAAGATTAGTAAGGCCAAAAGTCAAAACAAAAATAAATTAGTAATATTGAGAAACAGGTAGTAATTAAAATTAGTAGTCCAAAAAATTCTGAATTTGATATCGCCTTACAAATATCGATTCTGCTGATATACTGGTTGGACATATAAATCGATATTTATTGGTCATGGCTGGCCCAGAAAGTCTGAAATATTTGGATTTTGATTCATACAAGTTGTTCTGTCAAGATAAATAACAGCTATGTAACACATTTGGGTCAGTTTTGTCTTATTTTATTTTTGTTTAAAGGAAATAAATGCTGTTTTCAGTCTCTGCACTGGTATCGGATCTGAAAAACATGGTACATCCCTTATAGTAATACCATACTTGTTACCATCAAATACTGCCATCATAAACAAAACAAAAAAATCTCCATCACAGTTGGTTAACATTGGTGCAGTTTGGGAAAAGTTTATGTAAATACAATATCCCTTGAGTATTTATTGGAAGTTCACCGAGTCTGCCATACTGCTGTTTTATATTGCTTTAATCCTATTATGTTACGAGATGCCTCTAAGGTACTTTTTTATAAAATATGCCTGTCTCTTTAACTGCTGTTCATTCATTTCTAAGGCTGATAAAAGCACTTAAGTTGCTCTTGTAAGTAGATAATTTTATAGATGTATGATTACTGATATGTTTTGTATGTGTTGCTGGAGTAGACTGGTATATGCCACTAAAACTATGTACCTTTACTTCATGCATGATCAGGGTTATTGTGTAAAGAAACCAACCGGGCTTCGGTTGATCTTATGGAAATGTCTATGTAAATCAAAGCCTAATGTGTTTTGAACAAAAGAGAAAAGTGCCTTAAGCAATCAAACTTGTAACACTATCTTTGAACAATGCCATAGAGAATAGATGTGAATCAATATTATTATCAGGGGACTATGTTATTGTTGGTATACACTTTCAAGTATTGAAACACAAAAAGCTTTCAATGCTTAACATTGAGTTTGCCATTAAATTTAAATTTGTTCATGTACCTAAAAACAACATCAAAATAGTACTCCTTACAACCAAAATCACTTTATTCGTCATCAGCGTATTAAAGATACAATACGTAACTTTTCTTCTTTCAGAAAAGAAAACATAGTGTACCTTTAAGTTTAGAATTACAACTGTATATATCACTGTAAAAATATTTTCTACCTCATTTCATCTTTTAGCAAATATCAAAAGACTTCATGACTTTATGCTGTAGATACGTGAGCTTATGTATATGATATGCTTTGTACAGTGTTTCTGTTAATATTCTGCTAATATTCTGGTATTCACTTGATCTTGCGCATTATATTTAAAACTGGTTTATACTAAATAAATTTAAATACATTTTTACATTGCAGTGTCTTATTGGTTCACTTTAATGCAGTTATGACACACCCTCAGATACATTAGTATATGTGTTTTGGCAATAGTGACAGCTCTGGGCCTATGCTGTGGTAGAAGAAGTACTCAGTTTTGTTACCTAAGTAAAAGTACAGTTACTGGAGGAAAAATCTACTAATAAAAAATCTACCTATATCATGCATATTTTGAGGTCTTATGCTCTTCAAATGTATTGATTTTAATACAGATTTAGGCTAAAGTTTGTTCAATAGAAACAACTGAGTCAATACGCTTTCTTTAGCTGTTTTTACTTGTATAATTTTGTTTGCTCAAATTACTGTGTTAAACTAAATCCTTCAGCCTTTCCAGCTAGTCTCAGACAATGATAAAAAATACTTCTCAGTCCAGTTGAAAAATGTAGTGGAGTAGAAAGTACAGATACCCAAATGTTGTGAAGTAAAAGTAAAAAGTATCCATTCAAATACTTTTGTTACATTCCACCACTGGGCCTATGTCTGTGTAATCCTTCAGTCGTCCATACAGGATCCATAGCAAAAGAAACACAAAAGTTTCAGAGTGAGATTTCCAACCACAGCACATACATGTTTTGTCCCCATTCTCTGCATTTGACCCACCAGCCAGTGTCACTGGGGCATTGTGGACCCATAGGAGCATTGAGGACCCATCTCCATGATCTTGAATTAGGACTACCTTAGCTGGAGGATTGCTGTTTTGGGTTAACAGTAGTCATTTTGCATGCTACCTTTTTTTAATTTGTTTTTTTATACAGTATGGTATTTAATTTAACTCTAATCTCCATGGAGACAAGCAGGCCACATTACCAGGCTAAGTTACAGGTCAGGTCTGTGGAGAAGTGTCCCCGCTCACAAAAATGAAACATGTTTTACGGTAGTTTTGAGAAATGATGCCTGTCATTGAATAAATACAAGATATAGTATGTGTTTAATGTCATACTGTGAAACATCCCATGCAAAGCAATGATATCACCATGGAGACAAGCAGATGGTGACCCTCCACCAGAAAAATTACACAGTGAACATTTAACTTTATAAAAAGAAAATAAGTGTGGAAAGTCTTCTTTCTATCATGGACAGGTTGATACTGAAGAATTTGTACTGATTGACCAATTATTTCACAATAAAATCTCTTTCAGTGTTTATCTTTTTACCTTTTGCGTGCAATAGACTGAGTGAATTCACCTTCAATTCAAATTTGCAGACTCAAGCCACCAAAACCACTTCCTGGTGATGCTGCCCCGCCCTTCCTTTAATCTAAAATCATTGTGGTCTTGCTGCCTGTGTCACCCACGGCAACCGCCCGGGCATCAGGTGAGGGGGTGTGAGGGGAGGTGAGGGGAGGTGAGGAGAGCAGGGGGCACGTGTGGGCAGGTGTTGTGCCTCCAGCCGAAAAAAACTGACAACAATAATGAAGTTGATGACAAGGATGATGATTCAAGGAAAATAGCTGACTAGCGATTGACCTATACATTTAACAGCTCTCGAAATTAACATTTAACTTTGCAACTTGTAATAAGATGCAATTTATATATGATTAAACTTGAATCACAATAATAACTAGTACACTTAGGAGCAATACAGAGGGCCATTATATAAGACATTTAATATATCCTCCAGGGTCTTTGAAGCTCCACTTTAATTGCTATCATTACATGTTATTATTCATTATTGGAAAGCCTCACTTAAAATACAGGGGAATTAGAAGACAGTTTGAAATGACTAGTTCTTTTCATGGGGTTAATGGCCTGAAAGCATCTCACCGGGTACAGTGGGCCGTATAGTGGAATGATTGATGCTTGCCGTGTCTCGGGGCAACTGCTGCTTATGATTTATGTAATAATCTTTAAACAAGGCCCTTGTTGCAACACATGTGAGACAGCGGCTATGGAGATAAGTGTGTAGTCATACAATCAGTGTAAATGTATTTGAAACAAAGCTTGATTCGGATTTGTTTAAAGGTGTATTGCGTAACTTTTCCGGTAGGTGGGGTGTCTGTCATCAGCTTGTCTCCATGGAGATGTTATTGCTCTGACATGAAACCACTCTTTTTTGCATTTATTGAATTACAGGTGGTTTTATTGCTCAAAATACTTAGAAAAACAGGCATTATGACTGTGAGCGGGGTCGCCTCTCCACAGATCTGACCTGTAACTTGGTCTGGTTTGGTCTCCATGAAGATGAAAGTTTTTATACCATACTGTGAAACATTCCAGACAAAGGAACAACATTTCCATGGAGAAAATAATTTGATTTGTTAATTTCCTGTATGGATGACATAGGTAGAAGGATTCTGTTTTAGAACTCTTTACTTCCTGTATTTTAATACTTTTTTTAGTATCTTATTTTCCACAAGCTGCCACTTAACTGATGTGAAACTATGATAAATGTTTCCACAAATATTAAACCAAACCAAATAATAATAATTAAAAAAAAAATAAGATAAGCATTTTAAGGTTAACATTTACACTTAATGCTGTTTAATGAAATGATAAGAATGGCAGATTTCTATAACTTTATCATGTAATGGAATTCATTGTTGCTGTCACATGGGAATGGTGGCATTTATCTGGAAAATTTGAAAAAAGAAAGAGTGACAAAAACTCTTACTACTTTCCAATTTTTTGTGCAATATGAACCAATAGGCTTACTGTACTGCTAATACTGCACTTAAATGGGGTACATGTAAATGTACATGTATGTACAGTATATATGTATGAAAAAAATAGAATTCAATGCAATCTCAAAAGATGTATGTAATTAACAACAATGGTTAGAAATATACCAGGGTTAGTGTAAGTACAGGTTTAAAAATCTACTCCAAAAAGTCAGATTACCCAAAAAATACTCAAGTGTTTGTAATTCATTATTTTCTACGCCTGATGAAGTCAAATCAGAGCTATACCTAATAGCACATATAAAGGTTTTTAAAGGCGCACTATGTTTTTAGGTGAAGGGTACGCCGCCTGCGCGTCTCCATGGAGATGCCATTGCTTTGGCTGGAACCACAAAATGGGCTTAAATTTATCTCTCACCACAGAGACAAGCTACTTGGCAGTGCTTCAGGTCAAATCTGTGAAAAGGCAAGCAATGCATGTTTTTCCAAGGTGTTTTCATGATCAATAAACACCTATACTTGAATAAATGCAAGATAGAAAAATTAAATGACAAACGTTGGAACATTCCAGACAAATAATTGCTCATCTGAGTATTATCAGTGGTAAACATGATGAGGCAGCCAAAAAAGGTTTAAAAATCTAGACCAAAAAGTGACGCAAAAACATTTTTAATTCATTATTTCCCACCTCCAATGAACTCAAGTCAGCTGTCATAACAATACCTAATGGCACATAAAACATTTCATTTGACGATTGCTGTATTTGTTTTGCCCCCGTGTGTCACATAGACCTAGACTGGAGGCTGGGAGATTTGAGCGACATATAAGCAGGATAACAGGGGGATAGCTCATGGCCCTGGCAGCACTCCCCCGCTGTACCTCTTGTTGTTTTATAATGAACTCCTAAAGCTTTCATTTCCCTCAGTGGCTTGGGTGGAGGGGGGTCCGGGGATGGGGGCTGGATTCGCACGCACAAGCCCCAAGGGAGGCTGCTTTGCTGGGCTACAGAGAACCAGAGACAGGTGACGGCTGTACAGAGAGAGACAGACGAAGGGTTTTTGCATATGGCTGTGTGCATACCTGCCCTGCACACCTGTGGTCACTGGCTGTGTGTTTGTAGTTGGATTTGAGCTACGGGCTTCAGCTACAGTTGCTAGCTCTGTTGTCACTATTGCGCTGTGAATGACAAACACAATGTAAAGTAATGCCTGTGTAACTCTACCTCACCTGTCTGGTTCAGGTAAAGGGTGCTATGCCGACGGAAGATGGATGGACACAAATGTATAGAGGTGTAGCCAGAATTGTACTTCAGTGTTAAGAAAATAATATCACCCACGAACTATGAAAGTAGTCTTCAGTATATTATGGAGAAACTCACTTGTACTTCAAGATTAGAAAGAGTGTATGGAAAAGCTGGCTAGACTTTGTAACACCAATAAGATCTGATTTTATCTAAGAAACCATCTTTATTCCCCAATTTTTTTTCTGCTACTTAGTCATGTCATTGTTTATTTTATTTTTCTTCACAAGAAAAGAGAGAGGACATTCTTTAAAATACTTCTAATTGTAAACTGTATATATGTTATGCAGAAAAAATTAGCATATAGTAAATAATCATAATAAAGCAGTCATCAAGAACTGAGCAACTTATTTTTTATTTAACTGATTTTGAAGGTGCACTTTGCAACCTGCTTGTTTCCACACAGATGTTATTGCTTTGCCAAGAAGGTTCCACAACAGGGCATTAAACGTATCTATCAATATGGAGACAATCTACTATTATACTACTATTGATACTTTGCAGCTGATATTAACATTGCCTGTGTGTGCTAACTGGATGCATGTTCTGTCTGAGGCTTTGTTACACTTTAATCTGAGCTTTATTTTAATGCTGGAATTACAACAGGTGAACTGATTTTGCTCTGTTAAACAAGTCCCTCTGAAATTTTCAGTTTTTCAATCACTCTCACATTTTTGTTGAAACACCTAAACAGGAGATGTTTGATTTTTTTGAGCACATGATCACAGGCTCCTGTTTAAATCAATTTTGTATTTTTTCTTGAGTTTTCAGACAATCTTAAAATGTATTGTTTATTGTCTCAACGGTAACTGATGAACATTCCACCAATACACATATATGTAGAACACCCCCAGAGTGACATCACTGCAAAATATCAATATTACTAACACAACCTTGTTCTATTTGTAATTTTTTTAAGGCAATATTTTTATTTTTATTTTTAAACAAAACACTGTCTGAAAACATGTACACTGGCATATTAACATTTTTGCTCTGTAATCTCTACATTGCTATGGTCAATGGTGTGATGGATGCCCACACCTTTGCACAACTTTACAAGATTTATTTGAAGTTTTATGGACAGACAGAAAGATTTTATCCATAACAGCAAACATACCACATGGGTTTATGGATTACTTATTTATATAGGAACAGTAGATTCTTACTGAAGCATAGAAATCCTGGTAGATATATTGCCAAAGGACACATAGCGGTTTGTAATAGGAACCTGGGAGCCCTGAGGCAAACCTCTAGACTATGCACGTTTTTGATTTCTTATAATGTTGTTTCCTCATTACAAACATACCTGGAGTTGTGTTTCATTTCATTCACACGTTTAACACACAAATCCCGCATATTATGGCTTGAGTCATTCTCTCAAATAGAAAACACTCTGTTCCACCTTGGGATGTCATGTGGTAATACAGGAAGTGCTCCACTGTGTTTTTGCATTCCATACATCTTCTCTAGAATCATTGGGATAATTTCAGACCTGGAATTGCTAATCTCCACTGAACAAAAGGTAATAGGAGCTGTTAATTTGAAAACTACCACTATATGACATCACAAGGTGGAACAGAGCATTTTGAGCTTTGGAGATGCAGACAGACTAATAATGAAGGATCACTCAAACATGTGTGAATGAAACAAAAGGCAACTCCAGGTATATATCTGAGAAGGTAACAACAATCTAACATAACAAGAGTCATTTTTTGTATAATACAGGACATTTAATCTTCGTCCTGGACATCACAATGAGACACAATGTAAATGACAAAGAGGAAGGTACATAAGGTAAAATGGATTTGGTGTGGTATTAGTTGAAGATGGAGAATACGCTATGTGGTAGGAATTTGGTATGTGAAATGAGTAACGCACTTGCTCAACCCATAACAAGAACATGGACTGCCTGGAGCTATGACAAGGCTGAGTGCATACCTCTATGGGGGGCAGGAGCAGAGGCAGAGGGTCGCTGCGGTGACGGTCTCGGGTCACCCACACAAGATGATGAGACAGGGAGGTGTCCAGAGATCCATAAACATGTAAGGGGTAATTAGGTGGGCAGTGGGGTTGAACTGACAGCTGAAACAAGAAGACAAGAAGCAAAACCATGTCAGATGTTGTAAAATGTACATGGTTGCTTTAAAAATGTATTTCACATTTGTTTAGAAATTATTTATTGCATCAAAAAATATTAGCAATATGCAAATTTAACTTGAATTGAGTTTCTTATCCCACATACTGTTTGTTTTCACTGAGAGCTTGAGAAAGCACTAGTCTCACATGACACAACAGAAGAGATGATATACTAAACATGGACCACCCTTTAGTCCATAGCAGTGATTTCCAACATGCGGGTTTGGACCGAGAAGATGGCGAGGGTCAAACTGAATACATTTTTTCACAAAGCACACTGTCAAGAGCATTTAGTTAAATCAAAGTGTATGTGGGGGGAGTAGGACTAAAATGTTGAAATGTCTAATCAGATTACTTGTGATTTATGGAGTACTGAAGTAACTGATTCAGTAATTATTAATAACTTATATATGAAATCTTATCACATGCTGGAACAAGGTATTGTCACAAATGTTACCAAAACAAAATGATAATTGTGATTTCATTAAAAAATACTGTTCTTCTGGGTTATGATATTTTCAGTCTGCATATTTTTACATTAATTTGGTTAAAGTTGTATTAAAAATATGAAGGTACAATGGAAATAAGCATTTGATAAAGTGTGGAGTGAAGACAAGAACAACATGTAACAGTCATAGGTTGCTGTTACATATTTAGTAAACGGGTTCACATTGGCATTTTGTGATGTATGGGCTAAACATGTGATAAAAACATTGATTAGGCCTATTACCTGAATTATTATGGTAAAGTATTGATACGTTGCAGATGTCATCAACAGGGAGAGTGAAGCTATTTTCAAGCTATCTTAAAACTTTTTTGACTGTTTGATAATGTTTACGTTGTGTCACCATGGTAACTGATGAACATTCAGCCAATAAAGATACATGTAGACAATATGTTATTATTGCAACTTAAATAAACTGGACATCTGGACTATGCATGCATTAATTAGACTATTTAAGACACAACTCAGTGCAGCAGTCTCGGAACTATGAAACTGGAGTAACTCAACATGGAAGCAACAAGCATGCCAAAAATCAAAAACAAAAAATTGACATTTCTGGCTAAAATATAGTTTATTTGTATATTGCTTATTTGTGTTATGCATTAATTTATCCATCTATTACACAACTCATAATGCAGTCATCTCAATACTGTGAAACTGGATCAACAAAACAAGTCAGATATTTACATTACAGTTACAGTTTTGGTTCAGCCCTGCAGTTGTGATCTCCTGCTGGGAAATTCCTGGGGGAGGCTGTTCCCATGATACACAGACACCTGGGTTTGCATCCTCTACACCCAATGGTCTGTGATATGACCATGGACGTGATAAAGCCCCATAAGGCACCCACAGAACAGCCTCCTCGCTGTTTGACGCTCGGCACTCCCTCTCTGACCTCCATTCGAATGAAAACACAACTTTCTCACACAAACAATGTCCATGATAGGAAAACACAGATAAAGCACTAGGCCTGGTGTTCTCTCAACAAGCTGCACCTCTGAGAAGAAGGTTTTGAATAGTTTCTAAGGACTATTTACTAAATTCTCTAAATGGCTGTAAATCCTGCTTTAGTATTATGGTGTCAGAGCTCTGTGTAATTTTTCTGGAGGAGGGTACGCCACCTGTGACCAGGGAGATCTGGCTTTGCCTGGAATGTTCCCCAGTATGTCATTCAAGTCAACTAAAGTAAAGTTACATAGTGAAGCTTTAAGTTGCAGCTGACCGGAAGATCACTGGTTTCACTCCCTTGTTGTATCCTTGAGCAAGACATTCGAGGTGCCTTATAGTGTACCAGTGTAACAGAACCAGCATGAAGCCTCACATTGAAAGGACTTAAAACCACCAGAATAAGTTTTGGTCCAATAATAGATCAAATCAAATACTTGATATTCAGATAGTGGTTCATGTAATAAGTGTTCATGTTTAATTACAGTACTGACTGCAGTAGCCAATTTACTGTGACAACACTATGGGACCAAGGATAAAATGTTGCCTAGCTTTCTCTGTATCTGGTCAAACATACTGCCCCCATGTTTTTATATTGTGTTAATTTTATTAGAAAGCACGTTGGTCCCCTCACAACAGTAAAGGGCTCTATAAATAAAGACTGATTGAAATAAAGATTGATTGGTGTCACTATGAAGGTTTAACAATGTGTAATGTTATTGGGTGGGCGGATAGGGGAAACTCCATGCCAGGTTGCCATGTTTGTGTGAGAATTATCAGCGCAAAGACGATGTGGACAGTATCTCTCATCCAGGAGTCCCAGGTGGTATGGCCACAGGGCTGCTGCGTGGGGCCCAGCAGATGGATCCTGGCTTTGAGGTCAGACTAAACATGCAGCTGTGAGACAACAGAGAAACAATAAAGCAAAGAGCGCCATCTTATATAAAAAGATCTAGTAAAAGAAATATTGTTATAACTTGAAAAGACTGTATTTACTCAGCTGAGATCACTTTCACTGTGGTGCACATAACACAATACACAAAAAGAGGTATGAAGAGCTATAAAGTTGTTGTGTTGTTTGGCAAACGTGAAAAGTGACACCATGAGTTCTTTCAGTGTTGCATATACACTTTTGAGCTGTGAATTACAATGTGGTTAGGATAAATATAAACAGAATAAACTGTTGCAGTGAAATCTAGGTCACAAAAAACATCTGCCTTTTGTGTGATTTACATATAGCATTTTGTTTCATTGTTTCCTACTTGATAATATATTGTTTAACCAGGCTTGGGACTGGCACAGTATGAAAAATTGTGGCAGGAAATTCAAAATGCATGTGCAAAAAGCATTTTGGAAATGTAAATCTCTTAATAAAAAAACTGTATAACTTTAAGATTAACAAAATAATTAACAATAAGTCAGACAAGTTAAACAAATAATAAAAAATCAACACTCAATTGTGTCCTATATGTACCCAAATCAAATTGGACACATTGGCCCATTTAAATACATCACTGTCTCAACACTAACAGACACTAACTGATACTGACATAAAAACTAGATTCATTTAAACAATTATTGATAAAAAGGACATATTTGACCTTTCCTGAATAGATTTAGAATGGGGGAAGAAAAGGCTTACGCTTTACAGTGCTTTGAGCTCACTATGGAGTAAAATAATAATGAACGGTAACCTACTACTGTTGCCACAGCTGCCCTGGGGTAGTCTGACGAAAGCAAGTCTGCCAATCTGCACCATCAATCACCAACTTTCATTCACACACATGACATTCATACTAAGCAAAGTGTCTTGCCTACCAAACTTGGTCCAAGTGGGAATCGATCCTCTGACCTCTGGGTTGGGGGACCACTGCTCTAACCACTGTCACACATGTAGCACTGAATAACTACTACCATGTGCTGAAAATTACATTCTATTGTCTAAAAATATGTCTTGTAAAATGATCCATGGAATATCCAAAATGGTGTTGAGTATCAAATCTTTAATTTATCAGAGTGAAGTTTGAAATGTTAGTATTACAGTGCAGACCAAACTCACTGAGGGTACATCTGAGTCTCAAAGGGGTGCGAACATAATAATACATAAGTGGGCACCTGAAATGAGGGTGTAAACATGTTTAATTGAAGTTGCAATGCATCCTTTTTCACCCCAGTAGACCCCAGTAGACCCAGGCCTGCGGTAGTATACAGCACTGTATATAAAATGATGATCAACATTATTAAAGGTGCATTGTGTAACTTTTCTGGTGGAGGGCTCATCAAATGCTTTTCTCCATGGAGATGTTATCCCTTCGTATGGAATGTTTCACAGTATGGTTTTAAACGTATCTATCTTCATAGAGTCCAAACCAAATCAAGTTACAGATCAGATCTGTGGAGCGGCAACTCCAGTCACAGTCAGAACGCCTGCTTTTCAATGTATTTTTGAGCTATAAACCACCTGTAATTTATTAAATGTACGGAAGAGCTGTTTAATGTCATACTGTGAAACATTCCAGGCAGAGCAATGACATATCCATAGAAGGAAGCAGGTGACCGGCCCCGAACCAAAAAGTTACACAGTGTACTTTTAAGACAATTAAGTTTAAAGTCTTCCTCCATATTGAAAACTGAGTCAAATTGGACACGGGGTGCATGTGGGTTAACTGTGACAGGCTTTCATTTAGTTTCATTCATTGTCTCATCAAAGCTTCAAAGTTAAACTGATCATCTCCCGAGGCGTCTCAAGGAGCTCAGTGTGCCTCTCAAAAATGACTGGTATCCAAAAACTGTTGACCCAAGGCGCTTTCTGCTCCCCATAATTTGCCTCCTCACTTTGTCTGTCTTGGGCAATAAGTGTTGATGTATGTATTATATTGACGGGAAAACATAATTAAATATGATGAAGGCAACCCAATAACATATAATTTATTCTTAATGAGTAAAATAGCGGTGTAAGGTAGTCATGGTTCACTGAGCAGTTTGTTCTTTCTTTCTATTGTGTCTCTCCCCTGGACAAAAGGCTGGGTTGATTTCAGGTGATTTCAGTTTGAACCCCAGGAAATGCCATTCTGTTATGAACTGGTGACCACACAGAAATGTTACTCAAGTCTAAAGACCCTCAAATCTTATGATATTAAAGATTTATAAATGTAGGCTGCACTGTCTGGACCCCTCAAAAGTCAAACACGTAAAATATAAGTGTGATACAGATACAAATATAGAGTTCATAATTGTGCAAAGTTTAAAAGGGCATATTCTTAAATCAACAAACATATAAGGCAACTAATCATTATTTTAGTCAACCAACCAACAATTTTTTGTCTGGAATACACTACTATAAATGGTAAATGGTCACATTTTTCTATAGCGCTTTTCCACCTTCAAGGCACTCAAAGCGCTTTACAACAAGGAACCACTCACCCATTCACACACACATTCACACAGTGTACGCAGACACTGTGGGCAAGGTGGGTTAAGTGTCTTGCCCAAGGACACAACGGCAGCATTCATCTGTGGGAGCTGGAATCGCACCAGCCAACCTGTGGGTCAGTGGATCTGACTGCTCAACCTGTGATGTTTATGTCAAGAGCTGGATTCGAACCGCCAACCTTTAGATCAGTGGGCGAATGCTAATAAATAGGATAAATTGTTAAAATATGCTAAGTGAAGACCTCTAGAAAGAGGGCCTTTACAAATACAGTCTATTATGCAAATAAAAAAAACTGTTCTTTTACTAATTATTATTAAAATAGTCAACAATTATTTTAACAGCTGATTAGTCAAATTGTTCTTATTAGAATAATTGTGACTGACTTGCAACTTTCAGTCACATTAAAAAAAAAAAAAAAAAAAAAAAAAGCTGAAAAGGGGTGACTTGTGATTTGATCCCTGTGATGATCTGCTATTGCGGTGAAATTGGTGTGTTTCAGTATGTTTCAGTTTAATGCTCTATGTTTAATCACCAAGACGCATACACACCTACTGGTCAGGTTATGTTCCGTTATGAGTGACAGTTGGGTTTAAGCGATCACAATGAAGTGTGAATACTTTAAAGTGGCTGATGACTTTAGTTACTTTTTAATAACGCAAAGGCATTCAGAGTTTAAACCAGGATAAAGTCAAAATTGTAATTTTGGTTTTGGACAATCATGCATAGTTCCCACCCAAGATCCAATAGTTTAGGTATAGCAAGTTTACTTTTACATTAATATAGTATTAATAGTTATTTGTACTATTCAGAAATACAATTTGTTACAATAGTTTCTCAGCGTGTATGTTTATATTTTATTGAAATAATTTCCCCTTCAGTATAATTAAAAGTAGCAATTCACCTATGTGCTTGTCAACAACAAACAAGTCTACTGGTAAATAAAATGTATGATAAATATATTTAAAGATTCACACAGTGAAAAGACTGTCTCCATTAATTTTGATATAAATTTGTGCTGATGTAGGCCACCTGGAGTTCAGACACTGCTCTCGCCTGTGGTGCTCAGGTGTGCAGGAAGACCAGTAAGCTTGTGTCACTCTCTCCCGAGGGCTAAAAGACGAAGGACAGACAGTGAAAACCCCACGACCTCCAGAAACAAAGCTAATGCTATACTCGTGTACGCTATGGGAAGGATCCTCTGGTTTTCCTCTGTGCAGGTAGTTAAAGCCATGCACCTCCAAACCTGGTGCCCTGAGGATGTGTTATGACAACCAAAAAAAGGAAAAAAGTTAAACTGCTGGAGCAAGAAGTGGCATGAACAGATCCCAGAGTTTTGACATGCGGGGGCTGGTGAAAAGGACCACTGTTGGAGGGAGTCTAGCCTGGAGATACAACCATCAACTCAAGTACCATCAGGAAAACTGTCTGAGATGTCTACTGAGCGCCAGGCTGCTTGGTAGGGTAAACAAATACATAGCTTTCACTACAAAACAGGAGCTTGTTACAGTTCACCGCACTGATTGGCTTAAGATGCTAATCAAGGCAATTAGTACAGTTAGCTTTGACCATAGGGAGCAAGGTGAGGCATTAACATGTCAAGTAGCACCCCAGGGTGTTTATCTCATCACCAAATTATTAGGGGAAGCACAGTTGATCTGGGAAATTTAAGTATGCAACATTCACACAGGCAGTCATTGATGATAAACTCACCTTCTGACTTAAGACGATTCTTCATAGAGATCTTTGTAATGTGACCTCCAGTTGATATCATTAGTCTTGGAGTCTCCAGTGACTTCAGGCGAGAAGGAAGCTCAGGATGGACAGGCTGATATCATGACACCTATTTGTGGAAAAAAGAGGATAGGCTAATTAGAGTGAGTCAAGGTGAGCTGACATAAACCACCCCCAGGACATGTTTCGCAGAGTCTGTCCTGTCAAATGTCAACAGATTGTGTTATAGTCCTGTGGGAGCTTGGGAAAAGGATGTCTCATATCACATCTTCCAGCAATAAAAATAAAAGAAACACTAAATCAAACACATGTACCACAGAATGGAACATTACACAGATATGGAGATTGGCATCGTATTTTTTCCAGTCTCAAATTTGTACCTATTTATGCAAGGCTCAGATGAGCTTCCTTTCTCAAATGAGAGTACTGAGATCTGAGTAATCTAGGAGGCTACTCGTAAGAATTAAAAGAGGTGAGTTATCTTAGAAAGGGGTTGAATAAGTCCTTCTCACACTCAAATCCATTTAATAAAATATGTTTATCTCTTTGATGTTTGACGATATCTAATAATATTACTAAAAAAATGACTCAAAAAGTGAATAAAATAATAAGATTAAGACTATACTTAACAACAGTTTTGCATAAATTCACATTTCGGTCTTGTCGCATGTTAAATGTTTTTCTGTGGTCCAAATTTACCTGCGGCCAAAAGAAAAGAATCAAACAAGATCGTCTATTGTCGTTTAAAAAAGCCACAAAGTAACACTTTTAATGACTAATGTGTATCAATAATATATTATAATATATATTTATATGCTCATATAGATAATTAGATATCCCGAAAAATAAAAGTTTAGTTTGCGTTTGTCAATAGAAGCAGAGTAGACCCTCTTATTTTTTCAAATCTCCGTTGACGCAGCACTTCCGGTTTACGACTTCCGTACACAGCTGATGACGTGTTCACTGCCCTGTGTTAGCCGAACAGCTAACTCGGCTAAGTTACCTGTACGATCTGAACTGCCCTGGGAAATAAAGTTATAAATCACAAACTACACGACACAACGCACGATATCGAGACATGGAGACGCTTTATCACCAAACCAATAAGTGAGTTTGTTGCCTTTTTCCCAGCCGTTTACTCAGAGCAGCTGTTCTACCTGTAAGCAAGAAACAGATGAAAAAACAGCATATGGGCCAGTTACTTTTTCAATAATAACACATCTTCTTCTATTCGTTCAGTAATAACACATGTGTTTAAAGAGTTGTCCGATGTTAATGTAGTCCTTATTTATTCATTTTTGATCAGACAAATTCAGGAGGTCCAGTCACTGATGGGAAACCTGGAGAGAACAGACCGACAGTCAGTGCACTGTGAGTAACTATAAAATAACCCATTCATTATTGTGTGTCACTTCTATCACTTCACTCTATCCAATTATTAAGAGGAAACTGTACTATGATTCATTCTTGGTGCCTGTTTTATTTGCTGACTGTGATGGTGGATTGACAGTTGGCACATTGGCCCTGGGTGGTTGTTTTTGTGGCTGGTGGTGCCATGCTGGTGCCAGGGCAGGAAGCAGCTGGGTGGGTGCAGTGACAGATGCTTGGGAGGGCTTCTTTTTAGATAATGGTGGGAGCATAGACTGTATACAGTATATGGGTGGGAGCCAGGCAACAGACACACCCCATGTCTTCTCAAAGCATGACATCAAAAGTTTAGGGTAAAGGGAAGTATCTGGGAGTAATGAAACACTAATGGAATGATTCAGAAGACCACCATATGACCACCATTGTTGTGTGCAGATGACAAAACACAAAAGAAATATTTACTTTTTATTTAGTAATGCAAAGAGGTATTATAACTATTAATTGTATGAGTGGCTGTTATAACTTGTAGAAGGTGGAAAAATACACAATCAAAGTATAGTTCAAACTTCAAAGTATAAATCAAAAGTTTTGACACGACGTCATCACACAGTCAAAGTCCCTATGTTTTAGTGTTCTTTGTGGGTAATATATCTGTAATTACTGGGCAACAGAAATAAATAAAAAACACCTGGTGGACTTATATCTGCTACATCTTATCTGTTGATAAGTCAGTGTCGAATTGATTTATTTGCTATAAAAGTATAAATAGCTATAAACAATTTAAGACTATTGCCTCACTTATTGGCTTCTATTCTCCATTATTCAATAATTACAGAACATAAAATCAAATCAAATCCAATTAAACAAATTACACTTTACTGAAGAATAAAAAAAAAAAAAAGATAATTACAGTCATAAATCAATTTTTATTTTCTATTTTTAGTATTAGAAAATGAGCTGTTTGGAAGAATCGAGCAGATCTTCAATCAGTTAGAACGTCTTGAGATCCTCGCCAGCAAAGAGCCACCAAACCGCCGGCAGAACGCTAAATTGTAAGTTGGGATTAAATCAATTGGTGGTGAGCAAAAAGCCCCAGAGTTGGCAGTACCGAGGGGAAGCCATATATCTCATAATGACATGGGGGAGGGAGGGGGAGGAGGGCACAGGGAGGGAGGGAGGGGAGGGGGAAGAGGGTTGGGAAGGAGGGGTGTATGGGATGAGACAGACAGACAGTCCCGTCCTGGCCTGTGGCGACATGGATCTATGAAAACATATCCTCGCAGTCTCCCATCATCACCAGCATTCCTGTAGCATTGGGCAAAGATTCATTTTGAGTTGGGTAAACAGGCCCTAGGGGACAGAGTGCACCCCATCCCACGACTCTCCTCTCTGATCCTAGCTGATTTTCAGAATAGGCAAGATTTACAGGGAAAAATGTGTTATTAGAATACTTTATGTGATTAAATGCTACAGGCAAAGTCTGAAAGTTATAAAATGATCTAATCAAAAGTTTTAGATCATATAAAGTATTACAAACGTCATAACTAAATAACTTTCTGTGCTTCCTCCAGACGAGTGGACCAGCTTAAATATGACACTCAGCATCTTCGAACTGCTTTGCAAAATTTCCAACACAGACGATACACCAAAGAAGCCCAAGAGCGAGAGAGAGAGGAGCTGATGAGCCGAACCTTCACAACCAATGCAAGTTTAATACATCAAACAGGCACAATATTATGACCATCAACTCGTTATTGTTTTAGTCTATAGGGGGCGACATTACTGTATAAAGATTATATGTGATTTATTTTACAATATCTGATAGGAAAATACACAAAATGTTCTAAAATGCCCAAAAACTCACAATTTTCAACATTGTTTTTATTTGATCATGATTCATGTTGTATAGCTCTTTTAGAGGTATCTAAGGAATATGTATATAGATTTCTCCAAAGGCATCATCTCAGTTAAAGGCCTTTTTTTCTGAACTATGAACTATGTCCTCATCAAAAACATATGTGGAGTTGTGTTTTGTTTCATTCGCCCATGTTTAACTCACAAACCCTGCATATATAGTTATTCTCTCAAACTGAAAACACTCTGTTCCACCTTGTGATGTCATGTGGCAAAACAGGAAGTGCTCCACTGTGTTTTTAAACTCCAAACACCTTCTCTAGAATCATGTGGAGGATTTCAGCCCTGGAATTGCCAGTCTCCACTGAGCTAAAGGTAAAAGGTAGCTCTTAAAAACTGCTTCTTGACATCACAAGGTACAGAGCATTTTGAACTTCGGAGACTAATAATAAAGTGTTACTTAAGCATGTGTGAATGAAACAAAACACAACGTCCGGTATGTTTTTATAACTACATTATAACATGGCTTAAAGCTTACAAAAAATCCATTTTGCATAATATAGGTCATATAAACTGTATACTGAACCTGTTTAAATATCAACATAGTGTTCTGTTGTATTGTGAAGATTATCTGAAGTCAACTGTAGTTTTTATTTTCCACAAACATATACAACCTTTAACACAGTGTAATTTCTGTTTATCAGGATGCTGATACTTCCATACCCATAGATGAGACTCTACAGTTAAACTCGAGTTTGCACAACGCACACAGAGGCATGGATGACCTGTTGGGCAGCGGCAGCAGCATCCTCAATGGACTGAGAGATCAGAGGGGCACACTCAAGGTTTGTCATGTTTTCACAGATAATCAATCCACAAGTGGGCTCAATCTAGGTTGAGGCAGACCCAGAACGTGGACAAGTAAAGAAGATTGCCTCAAGAAACTGCACTGTTAAAAAAGGAAGATAATTTTCTTAAAGGTGCACTATGTAACTTGTAAGCTGGAGGGTGTGCTTCTTGTTTGTCTCCATGGAGATATTATTTCTTTACACAGAATGTTCCACAGTAGGGCATTAAACATATCTGCCTTGCATTTGTTCAATTACAGGTGTTTTATAGCTCAAAAATACCTTTAAAAAATTAACTCTTACTATATGCAGGCTTGTGTCTTCATAGATCTGACCATTAACTTGTCGCCTTTGTGATAACCAAGTTTATTTCCATACTGTAAAATACTGAAGGGAATACAGTAACATCACCAAGGAGACAAGGAGCTGGCAAACCCTCCACCAGAAAAGTTACACAGTGCACTTTTAATATGAAATAGTAACCGTCTTTTCTGACCTGGTTACTAAAATCAGTCTTATTGTTATTGCTCATATGTTGTTTCTTCCTCACAAACATACCCAAGTTGTGTTTTGTTTTATTCACACACAGATCCTGCATATTTAGTTGCTGCTGAGTTTTTCTCTTAACTGAAAACACTCTGTTCCACCTTGTGATGTGATGTGGTAATACAGGAAGCGCTCTACTGTGTTTTGAACTCCAGACACTTTCAGCCCTGGAATTGCCCATTTCTACTGAAAAAGGGTAAAATGTAGCTGTTAACTTGAAAACTACTGCTTCATGACATCACAAGTTGGAACAGAGCATTTTGAGCTTTAGAGATGTACAAGTAGAAGACTAATAATAAATGTGAATGAAACAATACACAACTCCAGGTATGTTTTCGAGAAGATAAGAACATTATATCATGGCTTAAAGCTCACAAGAATCCATTTTGTATAATATAGGACCTTTAACTAGACTTGAGGCTTTGTTTCCAGAGTGGGCATTCTTCAGGCCTCCTCTTATCTGGGTGTGTCTTACCATCAAAAACCCTCTGACGAAGTGTCGTGTCAGTGCCCCTGTTGATCTTTAGTCTATACCAATTAGTGCAGCTTCAACATGTATTTGTTTGTAGTGACTGGTCTTGTAATCTTTGCATCTTGCTAATTACTGTTTGAACAATCAAGATTTTATTTTTGTGTGCAGGGAACTCATAAGAAAATGTTGGATGTGGCAAACATGCTGGGGCTTTCTAACACAGTGATGAGGCTAATAGAGCGGAGAGCTACCCAAGATAAGTTCATCATGATTGGAGGGATGCTGGCGACCTGCGTCTTTATGTTTTTAGTGATCAGATACCTCGGCTGACCCACCCCCTACTGGATAAGAGCGGAAATATATCGTGGACTTTGTATTTTTGTCATCCCTGATTAATATGAATAGTGGCACAAAGGTAAAAAAAAAAAAAATGAGTAGTTGCCTAAACACCATTGCAGTTTTTGTGTAACATACTTCAGCCACAAGATTCATCGATCTTAATATCTAATATTTAAACCCACAGGAATTCACTGCCATATACGCAGGATTTTCTAAGACCACTTATGATGAAAACAGCTTTATGATTTTATCAGTGTTAATGTCATTCTGCCTTCTCAAACACAGTTTATCTTATTTACTTTTCTAATTCTGCACTTAAATTTCTTTTAAATGTATACAAAATGTTTACTATATTTCAAAGGTAGAGTTTGGCAAACAGAATATTTAAATTCAATAAATTGTGCATTTCTATTCTGTTAGGTATTTGATGATTATCAGAGAAACACAGCTTGGAGACTCATGTGCCATGATGGGCCGCTACTGTACACTCACCGGGACTGTAGATATTTTAAACTATTTCATTATAAAAGCATTCTACTTCATGCATTTTTCAAACTTCATCTACACTCAGTCTCTTTACTACCTTCATACTGTTTAGTACCACTGTGTGACTGACTAAATTCATAATAAAAAATCTCTATTATTTTTCTTTTGTTCAGCATGTGTTTGATGAAAGGGTTAACCGTATATAGACAGTAAAATAAAACCATGTCTCTAACGTGTACAAAACAAGGACACCATCTAGTGTTCAGAGAAAAAAGGACACTACTTGTATATGAACTCAACATTTTATTTGCCAAAACAAAGTCGTTCTTTAAAAAATAATAGTTGCTACTGACATGTTGTTAATGTGTATGTTCTCTGCAGTCTTTACAAGGATAAGAGAAATTACCTGGATACATGTGTTGTCCATTAAACTTGTTCTGTTATTCAGTAGCAGTTTTAACCTCTACAATGGTTACATCAGGTTAATCTACAGCAGTTATTTACAAAATTACACAAAAGCAAAAAAGCTCTTCCTAAAAGAGCATTTAGGAAAATAATTTAAAAACGGAAAAAATACAATTATTGCAGTATACTACAATCTTATTGTTACATGATGCAAAAAAGCATCATTGTCATGTACAGATATCAGTGCAAGTCATTCATATAAACCCTTACCACAATAAACATTAGCTTTACCTCAGAGTAATGCAGACAAACTCAGCTTCACTCTCTTATTTAAAAAATGATGGTACCATGTTTGGAAACTAGATCTGAATTTAAGATGGCCATCATTACTGGACTTCACATTATAAGTAGAAATAAGAGCTAGCAGGCCATTCTGAACTGCATGCTTTGACTTGATGCCGTGACCCTCTTCCTGACATGTTTTACTTAACAAGTCAGCCATTATATGTATTTATACTTCTTTGGCTGCAAACTGAGCAGATTAAGAAACTCATGTGTAAAACAAAAACTCCAGTAGTTTGCTCGTTTAAAAATGTTCTTATTAAACACCAGTGTCAGAGGTATTATAAAACACCTTAAAGATTTAGGTCATTACCAAATGGTAATGGCTAAAGAACAGTTAATAAAAGTTAGTGTCTCTTAGGTTTTCTCACTGTAGGCCAGAAGAAAATGATTGGATCATGTGACCAATAATATGACAATTTTATATGGCTGGTTTGGTAAAATGTGCATTACTCAAGAGCCATGGTTAGGGGGGTGTTGGAGGTCCTGTCCTGAGAAGATGGGGTGGAGCAGTGGGTGCAGCTGAAGCGCTGCTGCTGCAGCGGCTTGAGAGGGCCGGGGGGTGAAGAGAGTGGGGTACAGAGCCGCATGGGGGACATGGTGCAGGGCCAGAGGAGTGTGATGAAGAGCTGATGCCGGGATTATGTGGATGGGCTGTCCAGAGAGGAAGGCAGTGGGGTGAGCTGGAATGAGGCCAGCATGTCCCAGAGAGTGTCCTAAAGAGTGTCCGAGGGAGTGCCCTAAGGGCGACAGGGAGATGGGGGTGAGGTGGTGCTGAGGGATGTGGTGCACTTGGGCGAGCTGGGCATGGGCTGGGTGTGGGTGGTGCGGGTGAGCAGGGTGGATGCCCATGGCAGCAGCTGTAGCAGCATGGTGCTGCAGGATGGCATGCTGCACTGTGGTGATGGAGGTCCCAGAGGCCACAGACACAGTGGGCTGTTGGATGTGGATCTGCTGCAGAGTGGGGGGAGGAGGGGCAGGGGCCAGGTTAGCTGCAGCTGCTGCAGCTGCTGCAGCGGCTGCTGCCGAGGGAAACGTCTTCACCTGTTTGGCCAAGAGCTGCTGCTGGATGTGTTGCTGAGCGGCCTGCTGGAGCTTGCTGTATTTCTCCATCTCCTCTGGGGTGAAAGTGATGGGCTGACTCTCCAGAGGAGCCAGTCCATCTTCCTCTGCCTCCAGACCGTCCTCCTCCAAGGGAGGGGGGTAACCAGCATAAGCGTGCATTGGAGGCTGCTGCTGCATGTCGGACATGAGTGGCTCCATCATAGGGTTTTGAGAAGGGTCCTGTTCAGTCTCTCCTTGATATGGACCCATTATCATGGGTGCTTCCTGTTCAAACAGAGGCCTGGGCTCTTGAAGCATCTGCTGCTCAGTGGTGGGCTGCTGAGTCTCTTCTGACAGAGCAGTGCTCTGAGGAGCCTCCTCCATCTTTTGCACTGGTGGAGCTGGGGGCGGAGGTGGAGGGGGAAATTCTCGAATGGGCTCTACTAGAATGACCTCACTGTCAGCCTCTGAACCCTTCCCTTTGTCGCCCTCGTCTGGTCTGGTGAGTGGAATCACTGGCTTCTTTCCTGCTTGTAGTTTACCAAAGAGTGGTAGCATGGCTTTGTTTCCCAGAGTGGGGGGAAGTTTGGGACCAAAGTAACCCTGTGGTGGGTCCTTTATTTTACCTCCAGTTTTAGTTCCTGGGACAGAATCATCAGAACTCTTTTTGGACTGTACTTTTTCCAAAAGCTGTCGAGCTGTAAGTGTGTTTTTCTGTTCTCCTGCATCTCTCGAACCACCTGCTCTCAAAGTCTGTGAACTCGATGAATGAGTGCCGCGGTTAAGGCCTCGTGAGGAGGATGCCCGAGGCGACTGGGAGCGGTAGATACGAGAGCGGTTAAAGTCTCTGCGATGTGTGTCACTGTCCGCTCTGCTCCTGGCCCCTCTGCGATGGGGTGAGCCTTTGGTGGAGGACGAGGAGCGACTGGCAGAGCTGCGGCTCCGGCTGTAGCTCCGCCTCCAGGACCTGCCACTGGTGCTGCGGCTCCAGCTGCTCGAACTCCGGGAGCTGCTGCGGTGGTGCCTCCGATGCCGCTTGCGGCGGCTGTAGCTGCGTGAGCGAGAGCGTGAGTCGTCGGAGGAAGAGGAGGAGTACTGATGCCTCCTGGACCTCCTGCGGCCCCTGCTGCCCCGTCTCTCATACTCAGAGTCTGAGGAACGTTTGGAGTGGCGGCGGCGGCGCCCCTCGGTGCTGTAGTCACTGTAACTCTCAGAGTAGCTACGGCTTCGGTGGCTGTAGCGGCTGCTGCCTCGAGAGGAGCGCTCCGAGCTGCTGGAGTAAGAGCGACTACGAGAAGTCTGACCACGATGTCGTCTTCGACTACTGCCCCGCCTCTCCCCGCGCCGGGGGGAGCGGCTATGGGAGCGGCCTGACTCCTCGCTGTGGTGCCTTCGGTCTCTGGGACTGGACTTGTGATGGCGTGAGCGCTGGTTTGAGCCCCCATCCTCACTGTCGCTGCTGGGGGGTCGACCAGAGGCCGGACTTTTCTGGGCAGACGTGGAACAGGAGGCACTTTGCAGCACACTCACATCGGTCTTCTGGCGCTTGGTGCCACTGTGCTCCTCCAGTGAGTTTGGTTTATCACTGCTTTTTGCAGACGCTCCTTCCTCTGCTCCAGATTTAGAAGGCACTTCTTTTATAGCACGTTTCCTCTTTCCCGGTTCAGCTCCAGTGCTGCCAGTGGCTGTGCTCACTGTGGTCGGTTGAGCCGATGGCACTTTATCCTCGGACTTGACCTTAGGTTTTTCTTTCTCCTCACCTGCAGCCTCCTCTTGGTCTGGACCTTTATTTTTACTTTTCTTTCGCTTGTGCTTTTTCTTCTTTTTAGTTTTTTCTTGGGCTGATTCCCCTTCTCCTTCAGCCTCTTCACCTGCTCCTTTGTCCTTTTCTTTGCGCTTTGAATGTTTGGACGACTTCTTGTGCTTTTTCTTTTTCTTCTTTTTCTTGGCACTGCTACTTGACGCCTTCAGTGCATCACCTTCTGATTGTACCGGCTCTTCCTTTGGAGCTGCCTTCTCTGTGTCGGTGCTTGAACCAGGTTTATCGGTGGAATCAGCTTCAGTTGTTGAAACAGTTGTTTGTACCTTTTCATCTGAGCCTTCAGGTTTAGGAGATTTTGATAGTTTTGCATTTCGCACTCCTTTATTACGAGACAATTTGAAATCAAAGTAAAGGGGATTACAGCTGTAAGACAGAGAGGGCTGGGCTTTAGTAAATTCAAGAAGCTCAGAGGGCCACTGTAAAGTAGTGCTTTCGTCTTTGCTCAAAACAGGGAAAAAGGGACCAGTGGGTATTTTAGGGCCCTGGTCTGAATTTACTGCCTCTTGAGTGTTGTCAGTTTTAGGTGGAGAGGTAGTCTCAGTGGATGTTGTGTTCGCTGGACATGCTGGAGTTTCCTCCTTTTTCACATCTGGAGGTGGAGGCTCAGCTTCTGGTGCAGATGTTGGGTTACTTTCAATTTCTTTTACAGTTGATGATTCGTTCGTATTTTTCTTGGACTGTTTCTTACTGCGAGTTGATCTAGTTTCACTGACTGACTTATTTTCAGTGGTTGTTTTAATTTCACTGGTTTTACTTTCACTGTTTTTTACTTCAGCTACATTGGTCTTCACCTCATTTATAACTACTTTAGATTCAGTTACATTAGTCTCTGTCTGTTCTGGGGTGACTTCAGTGGTTTTCACCTCTTTCTCTTCTTTTTCCTTGTCTTCTTCCTCTTTGCTTTGATTTTGGTCTGCTGCTTTCATGAATAACAAGAACTGAAAGTGAGGCTTCACCCGACAGTGAGCAGGCGGTATATAGTGATAGTACTGAGGTTCCTGTCCACAATACCCTTCCTCTTTTTTCATCATCATTTTGAGTTTGTTGAGAGTCGAAGCTAGAGACGCCCCATCGTCAGGCTGTTGTTCCTCTTCTGTGGGGACAATTGTAACTGCCTCTACTGCTTCACCCCCTTCAGATCCTGGTTTAGGACTCTCTGTACCTCCCCCCGCCACCTCCTCCTGTCCTGCAACCTTTTCTCCATTTTGACTTTCACCTTCCTCTACAACCTCCTCGCCATGATCGGTGAACACTGCAGCCGCTGTCTCAAGCTTCACAGGTGCTTTCTTCGCAAATGAAAAGGAAACACTAACTTTTGATCCACCGCTGCTTGGAGTAGGGGAGGAGGAACTGTTTTTACCAAGGGAGAAGCTGATGGTTGAGCCTTGCTTTGGGGAAGCTTGTTCACTTTTTTCTGCATCTGGGGCTTCCAATGTAATTTCAGGCATGTTTTCTAACGCCATGTCAGAATCCTCAACATTTTCTCCATCCACAGCTACTGTAGTAGTTTTAAACTTCGGTCCACTTCCAGGAGTACTGAAACAAAA